TAGACACTTTTAAAAATAATAATGGAAGAACGAAGATTTATCTTCATTACCAAAAATCCTCGAAACAGGAATAAAGTTTTTATAAGTAACTCTCAGATCATAACAATTAAAACATATTATGAAAATCAACTATATACAAATGTGGCGAAGGATAATCGTTGACTATATAGGTTATAATATCTGAATGATTTGTTTGATATTAATTTGATTTTTTTACGATCCAAGTCGTATGTTGCAACTTCCTCAATTTGTATGAGCGCTACACTCTTCGGTATGTGACGTCTTTTATCCATAGAAGTAAGATTAGTAGCGAACAAAAGCGCTTATTTATCGCATTAGGCCTATACCCCCTTTCATTTTTCGCAAACATTTCCTTTAAGCCTATACCCCCTTTTATTTTTCGCGAAAACTCCCTTTAATTAAGGGAAAAGTTGGGGAAAAGAAACAATTATTTACAACGCGCGGTCCACTTGAAATATAAATCCGATCACTATATGTTGAAGATATAAACCTCGTGTTTCTGCCTTGAGTTGAAAAGTGTTTAATTCTGATAATTTATTCCTTGTTAATAATGCAAGAAATGCGCAAGTCAATATTGCAGCTATGGATGCAAAAATCAGTTTTTAAAAAACAAAAATGGGGAAAACTAATGCATCATTGATCACTGATCAGTTCAAAGCTTTCGATTGATCAGTTCAAAGCATGATTGATCAGTTCAAAGCTTTTGAGGGTGAATCGAACGTGCCAATCTACCAATGTTAGTTCACTTGTAATGACGCACAGTCCCTTTAAGAATCAAGAATAATCCCAAGTAGACTGATTTCTAATTACTACTGAAACCCCTGCCAAGGAAGACGATTTTTGAAATTGGCTTGTTTGAATTTAACCAGAGAGAACTTAGTATTTTTCTCTTTCATAAAATCTAGGTTATTTAAATTTGACAAACATGAAAAACATAAGTATGAAAGTAGGTGAGTTTTCGTCAATACACGGGCTATGAAATAAGTAACTCGAGAGTTTTCCTTGAAGAGCACACGGGATATGAAATACGTAACCCAGAGTTTTCCTTGATAAGTACACGGACAATGAAATAAGTAACTCTGAGTTTTCCTTGAAAAGTACACGGACTATGAAATAAGTAACTCTGAGTTTTCCTTGAAAAGTACACGGATAATAAAATAAGTAACTCTGAGTTTTCCTTGAAGAGCACACGGGATATGAAATACGTAACCAAGAGTTTTCCTTGATAAGTACATGGACTATTAAATAAATAACTCTGCAAGTTTTCTTTGAATTGTACACTGACTGTTTATATAAGTAACTCTGAGTTTTCTTAAACAGTATACACGGACTATGAAATACGTAACTCTGAGTTTTCCTTGAAAAGTACACGGACTATGAAATAAATAACTCTGAGTTTTCCTTGAAAAGTACACGGACTATGAAATACGTAACTCTGAGTTTTCCTTGAAAAGTACATGGACAATGAAATAAGTAACTCTGAGTTTTCCTTGAAAAGTACACGGTACTATGAAATAAGTAACTCTGAGTTTTCCTTGAAAAGTACACAGACTATGAAATAAGTAACTATGAACCTGACACCCTTCAACGTATTAATCCTGGTATAGACTCTCATTTACACAATGAGCAACTAAAAATAGAAAAAAAACATTGTCAGATTTCGATGACGATTTAAACCTCAAGAATTGTGCAAAAACGAAGCTATGGCACACAATGAATTTCGAGAAACTAACTAAAGCTTTTTGGTTCGCTAGCTAAGGCGACCAAAGGTAATGATTCTTTAACACAACTTAAAAAAAACTGATTCACAGGGACATTTAGTCAAGTATGAAAATAAAGAGGAACGTGATATATGCAAATATTTCTAAGAAATGTACAGTAAGATCCCTGAAAAAAGTTTGACACTTGAGCAATTCCATTTTCCTGAAATTGCTAACCGCGACTATGTTAAAATCGAAAAAGCTATCAAACCAATTGACTCAGCCAGGGACAATGTCCCAATTTTGCATCTTGAATTAATGAAAGCTTTGGCGTGATACGAAATTGGAATCCAGTCCCGAGTTGGATGGATTTTCTTACGCAGTAATTAAATTCATGTGGCCATTTATTGGTCACCCAATTACAAAGGGCTTTGAGGTAATGGCAGAAAAAGGAAAATTATATGACAATCTAAGAACCGCTGGCATTAAACTTATACCTTAAAAAGGAAACTGCAAACAAATAAAAACCGGAGGCCATGTAGCCTATTAAGTAATGTATATACAAAATATGCTCGAAACTCGAAAGCTTTTGTGAATCGATAAAAAACGCATTATCGACCTAAAAACGTCCGACTCACAGACGGCTTTATACTCAAGGTCAAAGGTTATATATGAAGTGCTTATGAATATTCTCCAATAAATGCTCTATACGAACAGATTACGGTAAAAAAAGATCATTGTTAATTTTGAACTTAAATTTTTCTATTTTTCTTTTGCTATGGAATAAGACCTGAATTGTTAACAGGAATGAAAGCGGTAACTCTTATATAAATCAATATGGTCTGTCGAACACCAAAGAAAACAAAATTACTTCTTTAATAATTTACAATTTCTATAGTTTTAAACTGATATCATGACCCACTTTACTTTTTTTTGGGTTTCTTCATCTTTTTACATTGAGAATTAGAATGAATGAAAATTGTATTAAAGTTCAAACCAGAAATTTCCGAGTGTATCAGGTTCATTTTCCCATATCCTTCATTAGTTCTGGTTTAGTCAACATCATTCACAAAAATTTCTATTTATATTTCAAGTAGTAATGCGGGGAGACTCTTTGACTTGGGCAGAGATGAACCTGACTAGCAAAAAAGATGAGTCAACGAGACCTGGTAACCCCTGAATATTGATGACGCAACCCACAAATAATACGGTAACATAAACTTTCTCCAATTAACGGAAGTTGATATATTGCTCCTTTATACGAGCCTTAACAGAGTCAGGATAATATCTATATTCCCACAATTTTTTTTCCTTTCTTTAGTCTAAATTTTTTTCCCCACAAACTAGAGCGATATTATCTACACAGTATATTCCCCCCCTAAGTCGTCTACATTTAGATTACTAAATGTCAAGATTGTAAATTTAAAAGATACTAAAAACCATACCCTTCCAATTTTTCTTCACATGTACGCGAGGTCGAGGATGATGCTTCTGACTGGAAAAAACACCCCTATTTTGCGACTAAACAATCTTTAAAAATAACTTTAATCTTCAGGTTCGGAACTGATAACGAGATTCGGATAACAGTTGATAAAATATTAATCTCATTTTTAAAACATGATGTTGATATCCTCTTTTTTCTATCTATTATAGTATATGAAGATTTCATACCTCAGATCCAAATTGAAGGAACTACCGGTTAAATGAAATTTTGCTGCTAACTTTATAATTTGTTGTACTCTACAGTAGATGCAACAATAAACCCTTACGATAACTGGTCTTTAATAAAAGGTTAAAAGTTGAGAATTTAATTTTCAAAAAAATTAAAACGTGAATACAGATTTATTTTAAAAAAGAAACAATGATGAAATTGATCTGAAAAATACCTCTAAAACGGGGAAAAAAATAAAAGATAAAATACATAATAATAATCCTTTTTTGTTTGTTTTAAAGTGGTACCGGAAAGATGAACCGGAATTGCTAACAGTGGAATCCAAAGGAAAGAAATTGGTTCTCACATCGTCTTACTTTGTGCTAACTCCGGTAAAACCTAGATTTCCAAAGGCGGTTGATTTTTGTTTGTTTTTTTTCTGTCTTTTCTAGGTGTGCAATACTTTTTAACAAGCGAAAACAGGAGTCAAGACGAGTCTGTTTCATGCACAAGCATTGTTTCAATCAACAAATTTATTAAAACGTAATCAACAGGGTACAACAAAAAGTTTACGACTTAAACTATATTTTGCAATAGAGTTTTACCCCTACATTATATCACACTATGATGCACATAATTTTAGACAACGATACTTTATGGCCACATTTAATCAGGTAACTTGCAGAAGTATTTTGACTGTGACATGAGTGCCCAAAGATAACCGGGTGATGTACTTCTTTGTACACTATTCTGTACTTACACTAGTACCTCAGCTATGTGCTCTGCTCTCATTCCTCATGTACCTTGTAGAAGTACTTTAACATGAGAACCGAAGACAAGTTGGCGATGTACTTCCTTGTACACTATTACGTACTTATATTTGTACCTTAGTTATGCACCCATATTCCCCGAAGGTACGGAGCTCCGACACTTGACTCCACAAGATACAATGATAGTCGCAGCATCTATCTTTCTTGTTTTTTTTTAGCTCAAATTACTTCGAAAACCACTTACTCCAACATTCTTTCGATTAGATGTTGCTGCAATGTTAATACCTTGAGGGACATATTGGGTTTGTATCTTTAGCTAAGAGACGAAAATGCTATATTATATGTGGTGTTATTGTTTCTCGTTGAGAAAATATAGTATTTACATGGATAGTAAATATAAAATAAGAATAAACGAAAAGAAATTTTTTTTTTGATTTTTTTAAAGCTAATTAAAGATTTCTGAAGCAAAGGCAGGCAAAAAATGACCTGATCCTTACATAAAAACAAAGTCTATTAAATAGTAATAGGGGTTAGAGATTACGTACATTTTCGGTAAAAACAAATCGTTGAAAAAAAAAATTCTCAAAAACTTATAGAAAGTACTCAATTATAATTATGTTTATCTTGTTTAAACAAATGCACGAAAAAGTAAAAATTAGAGTCTAGTTAATAGCTACAAAATCAACATCATTTTCGCGGAAATGTATAATGTAAAGTGTGTGCATGTTTGGAAATTAAATGATATATAAGGCTTCTTAGTACTTATTAAATGTTCAAGGTTACATTAAATAAACAGAAAAACCCACTTAAAAGTGCAGACTCGCAGGCAAACTCAATAGTGTAGTTGGAAAAGTTCAGGAGCAATGATGTTTCTTCTTTTTCTCCCACTGCTGTTTCAACCTGGGGCTTCTACACTTAACAGAAATATAATAGTGGCAAGCAGAAATAAAACTTTCTTAGGCAACGGAAGAAATATATTGAGAATTGTCATTGTATTAAGCTGCAAAGAAAGAACCACAAAACTCTAGAATAGAAAGACGACGTCAAAACTCAAGATATGATTTTAAATAGACCAATGAAAATGAAATACATCAATTGTTCAGTGTACAGTGCCCATTTCACTTTAAAAAATGGATTTTAAAGCTTTTTAACAACATCAAATACACAAAATATTGCTTTAATGTCGTCTTCGTATTCAACTATTTTCTGGTTCTCACTGTACTTATTATATTTGTCTGAAGACGTTAAACACAGAGTATAAAATAAAACAAAATGTGCTCAAAACATTTTGATTAATATTATCAGAGTTGGTAACCCTGCGGATAGGATTGTAATCAGAATAAATTCAATATATTAGAGTTTATTAACTTTGAAATGACGTAAGACAAAAAAAATTGGAAAAACGATCTAAAAACTGTTGTTACAGCACGCTCGTTTGAACACGTTTTTTTTTTAATAGTTTTTTGGTCGTTTTCTTGCATATATCTTCTGCCAGGGTCACAATTCGACATAGTTACAGAAATGAAAATGTTTAGAATAAAAGTCATTCACTACTCTTACATTATACACAATTTTGTTCTAAAAGAACATAAACCAAAAAACGGCTGAAAAACAAACCATCTCGATATTTTTTGAATCTGCAGATTATTTTATTTTTCTATTCGATATCCCGCATGGAGAAGAATAATTTAATGAAGAGATTAAGCATTGATCCTCATCATAAAAGTGTCCGCAGTGGATATCAAGATCAGTATCTTTAATACAAAAGTTCACAGCTTGATCCTCATCATAAAAGTGTCCGCAGTGGATATCAAGATCAGTATTTAATACAAAAGTTCACAGCTTGATCCTCATCATAAAAGTGTCCGCAGTGGATATCAAGATCAGTATTTAATACAAAAGTTCACAGCTTGATCCTCATCATAAAAGTGTCCGCAGTGGATATCAAGATCAGTATTTAATACAAAAGTTCACAGCTTGATCCTCATCATAAAAGTGTCCGCAGTGGATATCAAGATCAGTATTTAATACAAAAGTTCACAGCTTGATCCTCATCATAAAAGTGTCCGCAGTGGATATCAAGATCAGTATTTAATACAAAAGTTCACAGCTTGATCCTCATCATAAAAGTGTCCGCAGTGGATATCAAGATCAGTATCTTTAATACAAAAGTTCACAGTTTGTTCGTAAATTCCCATTCCCTTTCTCTCTCAAAAGAATTAATTATTTTTTATTCAACATGTTTCCCAAAAAAAACATCATTTTTGTCTTGTCAAAAAAATAGATATTAATATAATGCATAAATAACAAATAAAAGTCAAACCAAATTTTTTAAAATAGGTCATTTAAACACCTAGATTTTTATGTATTCTTATATTAATTATTTTGCTACAAAGGAAATTAGATATAAATTATACAAGATAAGTTTAGTCTGACTTGTTATTGTACCAATTTGTAGAAGGACCTATAGTATTTCGTGTCAGTTAGACAGCCAAATATCCTTTAATGTTAAAGAATCGGATCAGAAATACAGGGTGATCCACGAAACTGGAAGGTCTGCATTTATTGTGCGAAAATGGGTTGAACCCATTGACGTCTGAAAGGCATAAATTCTTTTATTTCTTTCACTAATTATAGAAGATGACTGTTCCTCTGAATCCCCTAAATCTGCTGGTAAAATGCCTCCACAGTCTCCTCCGTTAAAAATCCCTTTCCGTTCCCTGCCTGGAGTAAACATGACGGATTTTACTATTTGCGCTAGATTTAAAGAATACAGCTTCAGTCATGGTATATTCAGGTAATCTACCACATATAAATTGCATACTAGCTGGAATACCCGGCGATGCCCAAAGAATTTTAAAGAAAAAACAGAATTTAGAGAAAAAAATTTTTAATTGGTTTAGCCTATACCAACCCTGTGGTACAAATGGGTTTCCTCAAAAAAACGTCAAGCAAAATTTGTCGAGCTGTGAAAAAAAGTCCTTGAAATAAAAAGTCTCTGAAAATAAAGTCCTACCAGTTTGAGACTTTCTTTTTTAGAACTTTCTGACTTATTTTATTGCTTTTTTTCTTCAAATTAATTTTCTTTAGGAGTTTAATTTCTATGATCTTATTTCCTGAGACTTATTGGCAGCCCCAATATTATTTCATATAAAAGCCCCAATAATCTAAAACGATCAGGACTTTATTTCCAGTTACAATTTGTGCAAGGACTTCAGAAAATTAGGACTTTTTCACCAATATTTTTATTTCCATGTTTTTTTTCGAGAACATTTTTTCCTGTCACTATCTTTTATAGTTTTTGGCCAGCTATAACTAACATATGTGCACGAAGAGCCTTATTATTTTGAAATTTATAATATTACGACCCTGAAAGTCATATTTTGTGTAAGATGTGCTTTTTCATAATTAAGAATCCAAAATGGTGGCGAGGATTGGTTTGTCTTTAGAACATTGAAAAATCTTGGAATAAATTTACATCTCATCAGTTTATTTCATCAGGTATTAAGGGTCCCAATAAACATGACAATTTGAAGCTCGTCTTTGATCTTTAAATAATTTGCGACGTTCTTGAGTTAATAATCACAAAATACCCCTAATACCGGCATTTCCAAAATGTGATGTCTTTTTTGTGCTTTCAATAATTCCGGAGTTATAAAAATTTCGTTCAGATTTAGACAATTTTCGTTTTATTTAACAAAATTGAAATCTTATTCTTGATAACTCAAGCAGCACAAACAAGTCAGACCACATTTTGGAAATGCCAGGACTACAAAGAAAGTTTTATGGCTTTTGTTTCAAGAATCAAATATATTATATTAGGTGGACGACTTTATGTCACAAATATATTATATTAGGTGGACGACTTTATGTCACAAATATATTATATTAGGTGGACGACTTTATGTCACAAATATATTATATTAGGTGGACGACTTTATGTCACAAATATATTATATTAGGTGGACGACTTTATGTCACAAATATATTATATTAGGTGGACGACTTTATGTCACAAATATATTATATTAGGTGGACGACTTTATGTCACAAATATATTATATTAGGTGGACGACTTTATGTCACAAATATATTATATTAGGTGGACGACNTTTGTTTATGTTTTGACTGCATACGGTTGTACTTTGTAAAAGAAGAAACTTGCAGTATACAAACAGTGTAAACTTGTCCGTCTTCACTGTTCATCTTCCGGATGCATTATTGACCCATCTATACAGCCATTTACCGTTTTCATAAATTAAACTTTAGCAGACATAATTATTATGGCTTTTGAAATAAGGTACTACAATGCTAATTCATAACAAAGACGATATCGAATTCGTCACTGAATTCCCATGTCTTTTGGGACACCCTGTACAAATAACATTCTTTTAATTCTCAATGAACCCAGTTTCGAGGGCTAAAAACTGGTTTAGCAGTCTGTTTACATTCTAATTAGGCTTATGTCGAAACACATCTAAAGGTTCGACATGAGAGGGGGTAAGTGGGGCGGGGGGCTTTATTCCTCTTGCACAAATGCATCTATACATATTTCCCTTGTCCGTCTGTATACATTACAATGAAAAATTTGCTCTTTGATAAATATTCAAAAACAATGAATTAATTTACTTCGCTCCTTTTTATATTTTTACGTGTAACTATAACTCAGGACTATATTTCTAGATGATTTAGAACACATTCCTGATATGAAAGGCATTCCCGACTTAAGACGCATTATTGATAATAAGAACGCGTTCCTGATTTTAAACGCTAGTTCTCATGAAACGTTAGTTCTCATGAAAACGTTCGTTCCTCAGGAACGACGCCAGGCCCTAACTATAGTACAAATATGTGTATGTGAGTTAATAAGGAAACCCCGCACATTTTTTATAGCTTTCTGGATCTTTATAGAGGGGCCATATAAACTACTGAAAAACGAGCACCTAAAAAAACACAAATCCTCTTTCAATCCAGAAATAAAAATCCTGAAAGAAAAAGACACTAAAGTCAAAAGTAAAAAGTTTTTTATTGTTTTTTTTTCAACATTAATTAGATTTCATGATGGAACTGAAGGAACAAAAATTATGAGAATCTTTTTTTTTATATTTCAAACTTGTACAGAGTTCATTATAGTTTAAAATAATAGATAGCATATAAATATTCTTCTTATGCTGAGATTTAAAAAAAATCTAATTTGAATCTTGATTAAAATTGTTTTAGAGTGAACTGTTTCGAGCAGATTTGTCTCCTATCACCTGGCACAGCATTTGTATGTCCATAGGGAAAATAAATTCTTCAATCAAAACTTTAAAAATAAAAAAAATAAAAAATCTTGAATCTTTTCTTTAAAAAGAAAATTTGTGTCTAAAAACTAATAATGATAGTGTTATGATTAGTAAACAATACTGGTCCAATTTATATAGAAGGTGTCCCACGAAACATGACAGTTGGAGAACAGTTTAAAATGTCTTCTTCAATCATTTGATAAGTTTTTTGATACTAAAGAGACTAATAACATTATTTATAGGTAACCGCCAAATAATTCCTTGGAAAAAAAGATTCCGGAAAAAAGTCCTAAAATTTCACACTAAAAAAGTCCTATGGAAAAAAGTCCTTTCATTAAAAAGTCTCAGGAAAAAAAGTCCCATGGAATCCAAAACACAGGACTTTATTTCCAGTGACATATTTTCCAAGGACTTGAGAAAATTCGGACTTTTTTCCAAAGTTTTTATTTCCAGGTTTTTTTCCAGAAACTTTTTCCCCGAGACTTTCTTACATAAATTATATATTTATATGACAGTTACATCATAGTAAAATTTATTTCATAGTAAAATATATACGAGTAAAAATTTTTTTAAAGAAATAAACTGCAAAAAGTCGTTAGAATCTAATAAAGTATGTGAAAAAAGACATTTAAAATTATTCACCAGCTATCATGTTTCGTGGGACACCCTGTATGAAAAAACGTCAAAAAGAAATTATGATTTAGAAAAAAGAACAAAATATTTTAAGTTATGCAGGTTTAAAATTATGAAGATTTTCTTTTTAGAACTAAAAACTTTGAGGTTGAAGATTGTCAGGGAAAAAAGATGCAAATAAACTACAGTGAATCTCAGCTCTGATATCATGTACTACAGTGAAACCCTTAATAACGAATACATCGGAAGAATTTATCAAATGTCGTCTTGACAATTTTTCAATGAGTTTTATACTATAATACGTAAATTTCAGTATTTGCGAAAATAAACAAATAGCCATGAATATGCGGGAACAGTTTTAAAGAGCTCCATATAATCATTTAATTAAAAAACTAAATATCTACAACATTTCATTATCTGACAGTGAAGAATACGACATTTGATGAATTCTTTCGATGTATTCGTTATTAAGGGTTTCACTGTATTATAGCGCATATGCTTTGTTTCCGTCTCAAATAAAAATCTGAGCTTTTACCACAAACTTGAATTTTCTAACCCTATATCTTAGCAACCCAATGTCGCAAACCCATGAATTCTGTTAGATAAAATAGGATAGAAAGTTCACATCATCAGGTTGCAAAGATATGGGGATAGCCAAATTCAAGTTTGCGAGGAAAGCTCAGTTTCTTTGACATGCGAGGCATCTAATCGATAAAATTATCCCTCTCAAAAGTTGAAAATCATGTTGAAAAAAAACATTTAAACATTTCTTAATTTAAAAAAAAGTCAATCTTTCAAAACTATCTCATTTTGGCATTGAAACCTATACTTTCTGTAATGAAACCTGTGTCAAAATTGAATGAATTTGAGCCACGGCTTAAATCCGCCAAAAACCGGTTTAAATTGTGCGTCGGCTTAAATTTTGAAAAATTGAATACAATTTTAAGTGGAACCAACCATATTTATTCCGCGGCCCAAATTCTTTAAATTCGGCCTCTGCTTTATTTAGTTAAACAGCTAATCTTTTGATAAATAGTGATGGAGAATTAGTCAAAGACATTGTTGACGAACATCTTCTCAATGCCACTGTTATTACAACTGATAACCTGACAATGAACATTCTGGAAGAAGATGATCATGCAATATCAGACATTAATGTCTGGAGCAGTGCTCTGCAAGGTTAGTTTCTTAACCCTATCCGGATTGTGATATTTTTGTCATATATAGCANGGGCAGTGTGATAAATGTATATAGTCCAACTTTTCAAGGCCTATTCATTAAAAAAATAGACCTCTAAAGGTAGGATTTGGAAAAAGTTTTAAAAGTACGTCGGAAATGTTTCCAAAAATTATTATTATTACTTTTGACAAATATTAACATTTGACACATGTTATCAAATCTATTTTTCAAGGGATTATCAAATATATAAATTTTAGCCCTGTAGCTAATCTTACGTTTAAATTTTTTTTTTGAAAGATGTTGAAGAAATGAAGAGCTAATGTAGGCTGTTTTTTGAGTTATTTAGAAAAAAAACACAAGGGGGGAAACTCCCCCCCCCCCAAATGGTGAAATGGTGAAAAAGATTTGATTGAAAGGGTGCAAACAATAGTTGTTAATAGAACAGTCCTTTAAATCCACTGTCAACATAACAGTCCTTTAAATATACTGTCACCAATGTGAAAATTAAAAAACCTTGGTATCTGAATTTTCTGTAAAATATATAACGGATTGGCAAAAGAAAACAAAGCACTAAAAGGAATTGAGTTTTTGGCACAAACTCAAATTGCATAGCTCATTATCTTTGCTACTTGATGGTGTAAATCTTTGATATGTCAAACTTAGACCAATGGATCATAGAAATATTAAAAGTTTATGATCCGGGTTGCAAAGATATGGATTTCTGAGTTTGTGGCAAATACTTCTCATAATTTGAAAAGTCTGCATCTATTCAAAACTTTTTTATTTCATGTAACATTCAAGATCTTGAAATGATTAACTGGACTCTCTGCATACACGGAGATATTGGGGGTAACCTCATATCCTGGAGTCAGATAGATGATTACAGGAACCAAACCAACATCTTGTTGAAAACTATGAATCTTCAAGCCTTCTGTCGAGCTTCTTCCCCAGGCGTCAAATTTCTCCCCAATAAACGAACCTTCCATCAATCCATTGAAGCGTGTAGAAAGTTTAGATCAGAAATTTACACCTTTAACGATTCAGTTGCAAATACTTACACATTTGACATAAACATCCCAGGAGATGATCCGATCTGGTCTGGGTATACGGACTTCAAGGTGGAAGGAGAGTTTAGAGCACTATCAGGGGATTGGTTTGTAACTTCCTCTAGGTTGATCTGGAGATGGGGAGAACCAAATGGAAATGAATCTGAAAACTGTGCAGTGATCCCTGGCGTGTATTCAAACCAACTTAACGACTATCCCTGCAACTCTGATGCAATCACAGCTTGTAACATCAAAGAGGTTCCAAAATTTCATTTCCAAGGACATCAGTTTGAAGAGGAAGCTTTTATCATGAACATGGCTGAACATCTAACCAGGGACCAATATTACTTTCAAGGCTATTATGGGACTACTATCACAAGTGAGTATGAGCCCGAGGAAAATAAATACGAATGGACCTTCCTGAATGGAGAATACAAATATGAAACGTGTACGCCTGATCTTCCAATCGGTACATGGGACTGGAAATATGATGACGACAAGGTTATATGGATGAATTTAAATGCGTGCAATAATTCTGAGTTTAGTTGCAGGGATGGTGAATGTATTTCTAAATGGAAGAGATGTAATCACATCTTGTTCGAATGTGAGGATAAGTCCGATGAAGCTGATTGCAAGCATATTGAATTAAAAACTGGATACAACAAAGTTGTTCCACCGAATGCTGCGAATGAAGAGATAACAATACTTAACATGACGATATGGATCAAACATGTGTTAAACATGGATATCAATAATATGAAATTGTCTTTATTATTTGAAATAAAAACTGAATGGCAAGACAACAGGGTTTATTTTTTAAATGTTCACAGAAACTGGAGTTCTAACCTCTTAGAACTAGAGGAATGGCAGAATATCTGGGTTCCTAACTTTCTCTTCTTAAACGCAGAAACAACTTTAACATCTGCAGAACAAGCTGGAGAACCAACTAGTCTTATGTATTTGAAACTTCTCAATGAAACCCACCAGCCGAAAGATTCATCTAAATTAGTACAAGATTTTTACTACGACGGTATGGATGTAGTGATATCTAAAGATAACTTTTACACAATGGATTTTCTCTGCTTGTTTGATTTTGCTTATTATCCATTTGATTACCAAACCTGCTCGATCAGGATAACTCCACAAACATCCAGACCAGATTTGATTGATTTTAATGTAAACACATCACTTTTGTTCTCAACCTATTCAACGTACACCATAACCTTGGAATCCACTCTTATCGGATATGATTCAAATCACAGAGCCAAGACTGTTGAAGTTTCCCTGAAATTTAAAAGAAATGTGGTTCCTATAGTTCTAAACACCTACCTACCAACAGTAATACTAACCATCATTAACCAACTTACAAACCATTTCATAGGACAAGAAATGTTCGAAGCAATCATCTCAATAAATGCTTCTGTTTTGATGACGATCGCATCCTTGTTTATTGCAACTTTTAACACCCTGCCGAATACAGTTTATATAAAGATGATTGATATCTGGATGATTGTGACCTTTGTTTATCCATTTATCATCATTCTCCTCCACACCTGCATTCATGTCATCAGAAAGTCTAATCAGGTACTGGACCTTTTTAATGGGACAGTAAGAGACCCTCCATGCAAAAATGGCAATGCCCGATTTACAACAGTTCCATTAATAGTGATGTCTAATCAAGTTTATGAATTAGATATCCATGTTTTTGTTTACTTAAACTGTCTATTTACCTTTGTAGTTTCTCTGAAGAAGTGACTTGCGAATTTAAAAATAAAGAATTTTAAACTCATAAAAGCTAAGTTATCTTCCCCATTTTTGATCAAATTAAGGTTTAAGGGTACTGTTGTAAATCGGGCATTGCTATTTTTCAGGGTTTGGAGGGTTACTTGAAATTACGCTTACAGACTCTTTCAGTAAAGTCTTTAATAGTGCTAAGGGACAGTATTTATGAATAAAGAACATTAGTTGAACTAGAGAGGATAGTGAACTAATTTTCTAATATGGAAAGAAGTGCACTAGATTAGTAGTTCAACTTACCTCAGCTACTTCTCACTGTTTATTAAATCTGACGAATAATGTGTACAATTTTGTTTTTGTTATGCTTAATTTGACCTAAACTAAGCTAAGTGTTATTAAAAATGTCCAACAAGAAGTCTGTCTTAATAAATAAAACTGTTTGTAACAGACACAACTGTTAATTTTTCACTTGTTAACTGAACTCATTTCCAATGCTATTTTTATCTCTCCTTTAAAAACTATGATTAATTTATAAATGATTAAGAAAATGATATTTTATTTAGTATTATTTAGAAAAAGAATATGAGGATTCTGAATGGTCTGGTTATTACTGGAAAATTGATTTTACCAGGAGGATTTCTTATATTTTCTTTTGTCTATTTTTTAGTTGGATTCAGGAATGTTTTCAATTAAATAAAAGGAACCTTGATTTTCCAACAGTTTTGAATAATACGTTTCTAAACTTGATATGAAAAAAGGCTATTTTTTTCTTCAAATAAAACCGTTCTGACTTGAAATTTGAAAACTTGACAATAAAGCTAGTATTATAACTTCCAGCTTTTGCTTTTTATCTCAAATGATCTATTCAATTAAAAATCGCTATTCAAACCTTGTATTTATGCATGGGACAGCCTGTTTTATTTTTGGTATTTTCAAAAAACATATTTAGTGTAAATTTTAAACATCACATGTGTCTTAAGATTTTATTTGTAGAGTCACTGTATGTATGTATAACCTGAAATAGCAGCTTTAATAAATTTTTTATCAATAATCTGTTTTAATCGAAAACCTATACATGTGATTACTGATTAGATTAACTTTTGATGTTAACAAAAGAAAAAACAATAGGAAGACCAATGCAATGTAAACAAAATGATAATCCTAAACTACAAGTGGAACAAAGATCCAGAGATGTTAATTAGACAATTTCCAAAAGGCATTTTCCCAAACGGCAACCTTCCAAGGGTATTTTCCCAAGCGGCAACCTTCCAAGGGTATTTCCCCAAGCAGCAACCTCCCAAGGGTATTTTCTTAAGTGGCAACCTTTCAATGGTATTTCCCCTAGCGGTAACCTTCCAAGGGTATTTTCCAAGTGGCAACCTTCCAAGGATATTTTCCCAAGTGGCAATCTTTCATTGGTATTTTCCCTAGCGGCAACCTTCCAAGGATATTTTCCCAATTGTCAACCTTTCAATGGTATTTTCCCAAGCGGCAACCTTCCAAGGGTATTTTCCAAGTGGCAACCTTCCAAGGATATTTTCCCAGTGGCAACCTTTCAATGGTATTTTCCCAAGCGGCAACCTTCCAAGGGTATTTCCAAGTGGCAACCTTCCAAGGGTATTTTCCAAGTGGCAACCTTCCAAGGATATTTTCCCAAGTGGCAACCTTTCAATGGTATTTCCCCTAGCGGCAACCTTACAAGGGTATTTTCCAAGTGGCAACCTTCCAAGGATATTTTCCCAAGTTGCAACCTTTCAATGGTATTTTCCCAAGTTGCAACCTTCCAAGGGTATTNTGCAGCGCTCGGTCTCCTAGCCCATCCTAGCTGCTCGGCGCTCATGGCAGCCTGTGGCGCATTAGAAGGCCTGACCTAACCTTTGGGAAGTTGCCACTTGTGAAATTCTGAATTGGGAAGTCACCCTCGGAAAAACCTTTGGGAAAATAGATGACAACAATCCAGACAGCTTTTAAAAGTGGCAATTTCCGGACCATATCAACCCTAAAGTGTCGCAACACATTAGCTTCACCTCACCAACTTACTTACACTTTTGCGTAACCCTATCCATGTACACTTTAAAAATTTTAATATCCTGTTTTTATCTTTGTTTTTAAGGCTGCAAAATATTTATCGATTCTTGAAATGATTTGTGTGTTGGAAAACATATTTAGATTATTTTTTTATTTTTTTTTAAACAATCATCCCTAGCGAACCCATCGGATGCTAAAATGTTAATAACAGAAATCGAAATCTTAATATTGTTTTAATGACAAAAATATCGCATACACCAATAAGAAATGGTTTAAATCAAACTTATTTCAAGTTGTATTTTAATTTGGTTTCTCGATATTTTTTCAAATAGATGATAACGAAATCAGGATTTTAAACTTATAATATGCGAACTTACAAAACAAAGTTCTGCAAAATCGACACTTAATCAATTTTTCTCCGGGGATTGATGGGTTGTAGTAAAAACCATACTCCATAAACTGCTCTCAAACCCGTATCTATTCAGGTGCAATTCAGTTTTACTTAGCTATACAATGCCTAAACCCGGACACCATCTCATCAGCTATCAATGTCTACACGGACACAAGCTCAAAATTGATTAGCACCAAACCAATGGGCGCAATCAGCTATTTATGTCTAAATGGACACAAGCACTTAACTATCCATGCCTCAATTAGGGTGCGATCTTGAGCTATCAATGCCTTAACTAGGACACATCTTTTAAACTATCAATGCCTCAACTTTGAGACATGATCTTGAGCTATCAATGCCTCAACTAGGACACNGAGGGGAGGGGGTATAATCATACACAGTTCCTTCTCTTAACACCTACCAGCTCTACATTAACCTCTCTCTAAATTTGATAATACCCCTTTGTCACCCTGTAATATAAGACATACCGTGTAATAAACTGTTACAGGGTGTACACCAAACATAGTCCAAAAATTTAAACTTCTTCTTTTTTACTTTCATAATTGGATGTTATATTTTTCTAAATGTTTGTTTCTTACAAAATCTTATTTGATAAACTCATAGCATACGAGTTATACTGAGTATGCAAATGCATACTAGATACTATTTTTTCGAGATCATATGGAAGGCCGGGGGGAGACATTTTTGTGAGATTTGAGATCCAAATAAAGGGATAATTGGAAACGTACGAAAAGGCCCCCCCTCCCGGACCCGCATCAGGTTGCGCCTATGAGGTATTTCCCATGCAATGAGTAGTTGTAGTCGCATTAGTATCTGCATTTACCAATATATTGAAGAATTTTAACGAAGGTTCGAGACCCGTTTACCAAGAGATACCGAATATAGATTAAAACATACCCACAAATAGATGGATAGATAGATAGATACATAGATAAATAGATAGATAGATAGATAGATAGATAAAAAGATAGATAGATAGATAGATAGATAGATAGATAGATAGATAGATAGATAGATAGATAGATAGATAAGTAGACAAAAAGATATACATATAGAGAAATAGACAGTTAGATAAATAGATGAATAGACAAAAAGATATACAGATATAGATATAGATTGATATACATATCGTTCACCAATACAACATAGATAGACAATAGACAAATATATTAAACCAAACAAATAGATAAAAGAATCGATTTACCAAACAGATTGAATTTGAAAAACAAACAAATTGATAAAGATAAATGAAACTGCATAGATGATGCAGAAAGCAAATGTAAACAAAGATAAACTATATAAAAAGATAATACAGACTGATGAACCAACGACCATAGTTACATAAACAGACAAATATCAAACCCTGTTCAGATTAACATGGACTAAATATTAACAGAAAATGGTTAACCGTAAGGCTGGGTTATCCGGGCCGGGGGAGGGGGGGTCCCTTGATCTTCATTTTTTTAGCCATATCGACATCGTTTTTATTTAAAAAAAAATTGCTATTACAGACAAACAGCATAAGTAGAAAAATATATAAACATAACAACACTCCCTCCCCGCACCCTGTCCTGCCCCCCCCCCTCTCCCCATCCCCCTGTCTACTTAAGAGAAGAATGTATATATTTCCCCCTGTCACCATCTGCGCCCTCTCTTATCTTGAATTTGAACTAATTAAACCGAGCTGAAAGTAGAGGGGAGAAGGACTGGTTTACACTTTGACAAGACAACCTCAGTTTCAGACAGGGGTTCAAGGAAATAACATAGATTTGGTTGAGAGGATACTTTTTTATATAAAAGGGATATAAAGTGAGAAAAGGGACTTTATATCGCTGCTTCATCTGAGTAACAATGAGGAAGATATCGTCTTAACCCTGCTAGAAGATTTTGCAAAATAAGACAGACAAGACAGACATATTAGAGATTTTGCAAAATAGTTTGCATATTTGAAATGGTATAGTCCAGGGCTTTTTTAAATGTACAGTCTATAATTTTTTGGACATTAAGTTTTTGCAAACATTTTTACTATATAATTCGATTTTGCCAAAAAAAATTTCAATTTTTGAAGATATGCAATTGTTTTTGCAGATTCTAAAAGTAGAACATAAGAGCTTTATCAATGATGTATCATTTATCATATTTGGACATCAAACATGGGATTTAGAGGGGGGGGATCTGGTTTTTATTACTCAGTTGTGAATCAGACATGCCAAGGCCGTATAGGATTAGGTCTAAAGTCCCTTAAATATCATTGATGTCTGTTTTTAACAATCCCAAAAGTTATTTCAGAACAATGTAAATCTCAGCTATGGTCGAACTTAATGAAATAAAGGTAAAAAACGCATTTTAACTTTTTTATGTATACAACTAAAAATATATGAATGTTTTTTTTCGAAAAAAAAGGAATCCATCAGAGTGCAATTACATATATTCGAAACATTACATACAATGTATGTGACTTACGAAAATTAGAAATATTCATACAAAAAAATCAAATTTTCAAAATCCAATTTTTTGCAACCTGATGACGTACACACCTTTGATATTTCAAACTTGGTTAATTTGAACTAACACAATTTATAATTTTAAATATCAAAGTTCTACGTCGGGTTGCAAAGAAATAGGGTTTAAATAATCAGAGTTTGTAGCAAATGGCAAAAATCCAGTTGAAATAGAATCTATAAATGGTATTATAAAGTTTCAAATATAAAATGAAAGAGAAAATTTTTTTAGATATTGTAATAAAAAAAAAGTAGAATACAATAAAAACAAACATTTTTGTTTCAGAGTAACTGTGACGGGAGAATATTTGGGTGTAAATGTCACGTATTTAGGAAATAATTAATAATAACTCATTTTTTATGACAACTTTCAGTATAATAATACGTATTTAATGCCAAGGTTGACATAAGAACATTTAGCAAATAACCTAACTCTTTCCACTTGTGAAAAGCAAACAGTTAGAGCTATCAAAGTACAGGAAAATTAGTGGCTTCCAAAGTTAAAGTTCGCATGTATAAAACTGAATGCTTTAATATAATTTGAACACTTAAATTCTATTTAACTAACCTCTAGGGACAATTTTACTTAAAGGGACTATAAGCGTATTTTCAAGTGACGCATCCAAGCAAAGGTGACAATGCCTGATTCACAACGGTACCCTTTAAAGATTTGTAAAATAAAGTTTGAATTAGATATCAATGTTTACAATTTTGAAAACTGATTATTTTCATGTGTTTCTCTGTAAAAATTCTACTGCAGAAATTATCAGAGTTAAACGCCTTTAAATCTAGAAAAACGACAAAATCTTTCATAGTATTGATCATACAAAGGTTTAAAATGTGAATTGAACTTTTTAATGAGTGACTTGAAGCGTCAAGCATTTCATCCTTTCTAAAATAATTTTAGTTTGCAAGAATCCAATTTGCAAGAAATTTTTTTGGGGTTTCTCTAACTTTTTTATTTTTATTTCAAGTATTTGTTATTTACAAAAACAGACTTCCACAGAAGCAACTGGTTGCCTTTTCATGGAACTTTTTAACAAAAATATCAGATAAAAAATAAGGAAGAAATGTCGATTTTTCAAAGTTTATTTTAAAGCTATGATATCAACTAATTATTTTAGCAAACATGTTCTGTAAGTCAACCTAAAACTAAATATAATTTCACCTTTTCATAAAATTATAAGCATGCTTATAGCAAAGCAAAGCGACACTTTCGGTAACATAACTTGATTTAAAGTAAACACGACGTTTCAAAGGCTAAACTAAACTCTATTATAATGGAAGGGTCTAACTAAACTAAACTCTATTATAATCTATTATAATGGCCGGAAGGGTCTGACTAATCTAAACTCTATTACATTGGAAGGGTCTAACTAAACTTAACTCTATAATATTGGAAGGGTCTAACTAAACTAAACTCTATAATATTGGAAGGGTCTAACTAAACTAAACTCTATTATATTGGAAGGGTCTAACTAAACTAAACTCTATTATATTGGAAGGGTCTAACTAAACTAAACTCTATTATATTGAAGGTTCTAACTAAACTAAACTCTATTATATTGGGAGGGTCTAACTAAACTAAACTCGATTATGTTGGAAGCATCTAACTAAACTAAACTTTATTTTATTGAAAGGGTCTAACTAAACTAAACTCTATTATGTTGGAAGCGTCTAACTAAACTAAACTTTATTTTATTGGAAGGGTCTAACTAAACTAAACTCTATTATATTAGAAGGGTCTAACTAAACTAAACTCTATTATATTGGAAGGCTCTAACTAAATTAAACTCTATTATATTGAGAGGGTCTAACTAAACTAAACTCTATTTTATTGGAAGGGTCTAACTAAACTAAACTCTATTATATTGGAAGGGTCTAACTAAACTAAACTCTATATTATTGGAAGGGTCTAACTAAACTAAACTCTATAATATTGGAAGTGTCTAATTAAACTAAACTTTATAATATTGGAAGAGTCTAACTAAACTAAACTCTATTATACTAGAAGGGTATAACTAAACTAAACTCTATTATATTGGAAGGGTCTAACTAAACTAATCTCTATTATATTGGAAGGGTCTAAATAAACTGAACTCTATTATATTGAAAGGGTCTGACTAAACTAAACTCTATTATAATGGAAGGGTCTAACTAAACTAAACTCTATTATACTGGAAGGGTCTAACTAAACTAAACTCTATAAACTTAACTCTATAATATTGGAAGGGTCTAACTAAACTAAACTCTATTATATTGGAAGGGTCTAACTAAACTAAACTCTATAATATTGGAAGGGTATAACTAAACTAAACTCTATTATATTGGAAGGGTCTAACTATAACTAAACTCTATTATATTGGAAGGGTCTAACTAAACTAAACTCTATTATATTGGAAGGGTCTAACTAAACTAAACTCTATTATATTGAAAGGGTCTAACTAAACTAAACTCTATTATATTGGAATGGTCTAACTATAACTAAACTCTATTATATTGGAAGGGTGTTACTAAACCAAACTCTAAATATTCAAATATATATATTACATATGGTTCAAATGTTTTTAAAATTTAAAAGCTTTTCCAAGTTGGACTTTTTTTGGATCAGGATCAGGGGGGTGAAATGATTTTGTTCTTAGAGAGATAATGTATAGTGATTCTTGTAGATCACTAGTCCAACTATTCAAATCCTAATCATTGTTAGACATAAAAGTTAATTAGTTTAATTTATTTTTAAATTATGAAGAAAAAACTACAGAGGGGGTGAACCTGCCTCTCCCCAAGATAGAGTTTAAATATGTTAATTCTAGCTAGACCAGTGCTCATTTACTAAAACGATATGCGATTGAACAATGAGAGGTTTGTCAAAACACAACAAAACTATACAAAATGACTTATTAATGTATTGCAGTATTTCGAATAACATGAAGCAATCCAACTGTGAGTCTGCTGAACTAGAACGAAAGGATCTGAAAAATATTTTTCACAACAAACTTCTCGAGAAACCTGACAAAGGAAAATGAGATTTATTTTAATTCATCAAAAAAATTTTTTTTTTACAATTCTGGAAAAATTACAGAATCTTTAAGATTTCTAAAAATTATAAGTAAAAGTAAAAAGTCGAAAGAAACTGTTTGTCAGCTCTGGTTGAAAATAAATCTCTCTCAGTTAGAAAATCAAACTTTGAAATGTTGATACGATGTTTCAAATCAGGAAAACAATAATAAATCTTTTTTATTTAAATTTTTCAATTGATCGGAGCTAGGAACTTTCAGCGATTTATCCCGATATCCACTTTGGCCACTATTAATTTGAGGATTTTAAAAGAAACAATACCTTTCCATATCTTCCTATTAGTTATTTCCCCCCTGTTTAAAGCTCCCTTTAACCCCTGACAGTGTGCCATACGGGATATCGAATATAGATTAAATTTATCTTCAGATTAACAAAAGGTCGAGATTAACAAGATTTCCAAGCTCGGATTAAATTACAAAAAAAAATCATAAAACCAATTAAAAAAGTTTATTGTTGCTAATATCAGTACGGCGGCAAAGTTTGCTCGTGTTTGTGGTTATTTCAGTTTTTATTCTCGGCACTGCTATACCTTACATTTGGAACAGGAAAATTGAGAAGAAATATATTCATACCTAAATATATATAAAACATGCACTGTTCAGGCAATAATATCAATTACACCTTCCGGCTTCCGCTTTATACATCTGATGTTGGTTTGAAGGGTACCGTTGTGAATCGGATTATGATTTCTAAAATATGTTTATCAAATTTTCCTTTTCTATAGAGTCCAGTTAAATACACAGTCCCCTGAACCCCAGTTGACCCCTATACATATATACACCAACAGTGTATTACGACCTGATTTATTAGATATGTAAGTACATTTTAGAAATTTGGGTTCACAGTTTTATAGATGGGCGAGTTCGTTTTTTTTCCCTTTCATTCGTTCCTCGTTCTTGAACGACAAATTTCGTCTTTTCTTCTTCAATATTTTTAATAAAATTGATATCGTTCGTTCTCAAAGTTATCCTACATTTTTCATCTATTTCTTTCGTTTTCTCACTGAATGATCGCTTATTAGTGTAAATAAATAAATTTTAACTATCTTCATGCCAGAAACAATATCAAAAACTGACGAGGGTCCACCCAGACCGAAATATATTTTCAATAAATGTTGAACTAACATATTTTTTTTACTCTACAGAGGTTTGGTCCATTGCTAGCACTAAATCAATTAAAACTACTGTGATGTATTAGGACATTATGGACACAGTTTTGTCAAAAAAAAAGTAAAAAATTGGAAACAGAGTCTGAATTGTGAATTTACTGTTTAGTAATTGTTGCTTATTTACATAAAACCGACTGAGAACACGTTATCCGAATCCCTATACACAAACTTAATATCCGGATCCCTATAAACAAACTTAATATCCGGATCCCTATTAACAAACTTAATATCCGGATCCCTATACACAAACTTAATATCCGGATCCCTATACACAATCTTAATATCCGGATCCCTATACACAAACTTAATATCCGGATCCCTATACACAAACTAAATATCCGGATCTCTATACACAAACTAAATATCCGGATCCCTATACACAAACTAGCTTTGTAGTTGAATAAAAATATGAAATCTTTTTTGATTTATAAGGTAGGGTACAGGGCTGAAAAAAACTAAAATAGCCCATAACCTCTTTGTGACTAAAGCTACAGATCTAAAAACTATTTCTTTAAAAAGCCCTTGAAAATGCCCGTAGAAACATGTGTCACACTTTAATATTTGTTTAAAACAAAAAAATATTTTTTTCATTTATTTGACCCTTTTTTAGGCATTTTTTTCCACTCTCCCAAGCACCCAAACTATTAAAGTTATCGGTTTAATTTTTTTTTCTTTGAGCTGGCCATGAAAAATTGGGCTATGAACATGCATTTCAACCCTATACCTATTCTCTAAGGCCTTTTTATAGGGGGGAGGGCGCATATATAGATTCAGACCCCCCAGCCTTTATAGGGTTAAATAGCTGAACTCGATCTTGAAAAGTTTATTTCGTTTGTTTATAATATTTATACATTATTCATCTCTTATTAGTTATTGGTCAAGTGGTTTAACAAATTTGGTGGTTTGTGCATAACTAATTAATCACTTAAATACATTTATTTAAAATTTTGAATATAATTTTTAATGAAAACAACAAAAATAGTAAATTGTTTTACAAATTCAATGTGAGACATTGCAAAGTATCTACATTAGATTGATGTAGATACTTTCATTAAAGAAAAAGTAACTCAGTTTTTGCCAAAACTCAAATTTTCGAATCTCTTTATATTTGCAACCTGTTGATGAAAACTTTTGATATTTCAAACTTTGATTAGTTGATCTATCAGAATTCATAGTTTGAAATATCAAAGGTCTACTATATTGGGTTGCAAATATGTAGGGATTAGAAAATATGAGTTTGTGGCCAAAACTCAGTTTTTTTTATAAAATAAGAAAATTCATAAAAATACAAAATGTTTTAGTCGTTTATTTGGTTTAGACATGGTGCCGAGCCAGTATCAGCTGTTCAATCTTTGTCCCTTTCCCTGGCTCCTGTACAACATTTCATTAACAACATTTTCATTTCAGTCAAAACTACTAAAAAGTAAGTCAAGACAGACAAGACAGACAAGACAGACAAGACAGACAAGACAGACAAGACAGACNAGGTATCACTACCCCCGGCTTATAATTCTTTTGGAGACATGGGCCAGCTTACTTAGAGAACAGGTTATTAAATAAACTAAACTTATTCGAAAAATACTTTTCATTTTTTATTCTAAACTTTTTGAGCTTTTAGTTTTTCCTTTTTATTAATATAATAGTGTTATATTGTTTTTAATAAAAAGTTCTTCATAATTTCCCTTTCAGATCATTCAATTTAAATTCTTTTAAAAAAGAAAAGTAAAATTAAATAATTTCCAAATTTTTTTTTTAGACATGGTTCTTTACAGATTATGAATCTCCAGGAAATCAAAATAAAATAAAATTGAATGAATAAGTTATGTAAAGAATTTGTTGGTATTCTTTACATTTTTAACCTAACCTTAAAAAAATGTAGATATTTTAAAACTTTGTAAAAATAAACAAAAGGACATAAAAACCGCACATAATATATTATATGGAAAATGTTAAATTTTTTTTTGCTTTGACTCATTATTTTCTATAACTCTCACTTTAACTAAATATGAACAATCCCTTTAAAGGGACTTTCGTTGTAATTTTAAGTCACTTTTGTAGAGAATCCTTTAAATTACGATCACTGTCCCTTTCAATGTCCGTAAAGTTTAATTTGTTTTGATATTAGAGGGTGAAGATAAGTATTTAAAGAACCGGACAGGAAATCACCTAGTGTACACTAACTGTTCTACAGATCACTACAGGTACAATCAAGGACAGGAAACAATCTAGTGTATACTAACTGTTCTACGGATCACTACAGGTACAATCAAGGACAGGAAACCATCTAGTGAACACGAACTGTTCTACGGATCACTACAGGTACAATCAAGGACAGGAAACAATCTAGTGTATACTAACTGTTCTACGGATCACTACATGTACTATCAAGAGTTATTTTACATTTATTCATTAATCTTGGATCTTGGATCCTTCATATTAAAACATCTCCGATCCTTTAATCCTTGGGTTTTAAAAAAACCTTGGGTTTTTTAATTCTTTGCTCTTAAAAACCTTTGGTTTTTAATCCTTTGGTTCTTGAATCCTTTTGTAACTTGAATCCTTTGGTTCTTAAGTACTTTAGTTCTTGAATCCTTTGGTTTTTTAATCATTTCGTTCTTTAATTCTTTAGGTTCTTGAATCCTTTGGTTCTTGAATCCTATGGCTCTTGAATCCTTTGGTTCTTGAATCCTTTTGATCTTGAATCCTTTGGCTCTTAAATACTTCAGTTCTTGAATCCTTTGGTTTTTTAATCCTTTAAATTTTGAATCCTTTAGGTTCTTGAATCCCTTGATTCTTGAATCCTTTGGTTCTTGAAACCTTTGGTTGTTGAATCCCTTGGTTATTGAATCTCTTTGTTTTTGATTCCTTGGTTTCTTGAATCCTTTGGTTCTTGAATCCTTTGGTTCTTGAATTCTTTGGGTTTTGGTTCCCTTGGTTCCTAAATCCTTTGGTTTTTGTATCCTTTGGTTTTTTAATCCTCTCGTTCTTGAATCGTTTAAGTGTTCTTGATTCCTTTGGTTCTTGAATCTTTTGGTTGAACCATTTTGGTTCTTGAATCATTTCGTTTTTGTATCATATGTTTCTTGAATCCTGTGGTTCTTGAATCCTTAGGTTCTTGAATTCTTTAGTTTTTGAATCCTTTGGTTCTTGAATCCTTTGTTTCTTGATTCCTTTGATTCTTAAATCCCTTGGTTTTTAAAAGCTTTGGTTCCTGAATTCTTTCGATTTTGAATTTCTTGATTCTTGAATCCTTTGGTTCTTGAATTCTTTCGATTTTAAATCTCTTGATTCTTGAATCCCATGGTTCTAGAATTCCTTGGTTCTTGGATTATTTTGATTTTGAATCTCTTGATTCTTAAATCCTATGGTTCTAGAATCCCTTTGTTTCTTAAATTTTTTTTGTTCTTGAATCCGGTGGTTCTTTAAACCCTTGGTTCTTGAATTCTGTGGGATCTGTATCGTTTGGTTTCAATTCATAAATCTGGTTTTATATTTCTTGAATTTTAAAACATATATAGTTCCGTTTAGTTTATATTTGTTGGTTCTTAAATCCTTTGATTCGTAATCACCCTTAAAGTTTTAATCCTTTGAACCCATATTGAGTGATTTCGAAAAATCAAGAGTTTGATAAGATTCTATGCATAAAGTAAGATTTCAAATGAAAGTTGTTTAAAGGTCTGAAAAGAATTGAACTATTTACAGTGATAACCAGAAAACTCTGGAATAGGAAGTCGACTTTTAAACTTAAGATCTGAGACTCGATATAGTCCAATGAGCATAAGGCACAGCAGTTGTGCAGTGTAAAAAGACCCATTTCACTTAATAGTTGATTTGATAAATATCTAGTAAAGCTATTTTCTTTGCAATAACATCATTTGCACTTCGGTATTGCTTTAATGTCGTCTTCTTATTCTACAGATTTCTGCTTATCGCGATGACTACATAATCTTCTCGCTATATTCATTATATCCGACCTCACTGCAGAGTTTAAAAAATTGTTGCACTGTGTTTTCTTAGGCTCTCTCTGTGCTGTAAGATGGCTGCAGAATTTGAATATTTTCTCAAATCTCACAAGAGGTAAATGACGATTTTTTGCTAATAGGACTGTATACACGTGATTCAAGGTGCACATTCATTCATAGAATAGGAACATGAAACAGAGTAATTGTAGTCTTTGATTTAAGTTTGTTTAAATTAACAATACCGTGAACGATTTCTTAATTTGTGACTTTACTATTACTGAAAATATGAACTTAAACTATCCACTATAAATATTTGGAAAGAAAGATGTTTCTAAATTACATGTTTCTAAATCAGGATTGTTTAAAGCGATAACCTGAACAAATCGTAACGAAAGTTTTCATCGTGAAATCTTTTAATTAATAAGACAAGCCGCTGAAGAGTTCAAATTTTCACATGGAACAGGTTTTAATGAATTTAAGGCTGAATCTATGTGGGTCCGTTGTTCAGCGACTTTTGCTCAAATACATTAAAATCGGTTGATATACCTATAATTTGAAAGTGTGCAATGTTTTTGCACTGTAGAGTTTCAACAGCTCTAAACTAGAAAATCTTTAACGACGTTTCTAGTATAACAGATTTATTAAAAACAAATCAACGTCCGCGTAATTCTGCTGATCACTGTTTTGGGAGAAAAAAATGACGACAAAGGAATTGAGTCTTTGACACAAACTTTGATATTTGATATTTAAAACTTAGATTATTTGATCAAATAAAATTCATAGTTTGAAATATGTATAGCCTACGACATTGTGTTGCACAGATATAGGGGTTAGAAAATCATAGTTTGTTGCAAAGACTCAATTCCTTTTCCGCTTTATTTTAATGCAATTCTGTACTTCTATTTTAGCTGGTGGTGTCATATGGACGATGATAACTATTTAAACCCTTTAGCTCTCGTTCATCTACTAAAGAGGTAAATTTAATTGAACTACAAAATAGAACCAAAAAGGACTATTTTATAAATTGTGATCTTAAAGTCGTCTTCCAATTCCAGAGTTTCCTGGTTCTTACTGCACTCCAAGAAATGTCAAATTTTCATCTAATAAAATTTTTTGGATCACCGGAACCAAATTCAATTTAGTAGTTCGATTCTTCAAATGTTAATGAATGATAAATTGCATCTAACAAACTGTGACAACTGATGCTCTGCTTTGCTGATGTATTCGGATCCGGTGCTCCGAGAAATTTTGTTAGATAACAATTTGACATTTCTTAGAGTGTGTGTTTAAATTTTAACATATTTATGAAACTGAAAACTATTTTTAAATATAGTTTCAAATTAAATTTTTTAACTCAATCTAATTTTTGAAATAGAACACAAGGAAAAAATGTTTGTCCCCACACCCAAAGAAACCAAAAAATGTTGTGTTTAGGTTTGACCCTGGAGATCCTGTATATCTTGGTAGAACTAGTACAGCTACCCCGCTACAAATTGTAGATATTCAGGGAACTAAGGTACATTAGTACATACAGTGAAACCCTTAATAACGAATACATCGAAAGAATTGATCAAATGTCGTATTCTTCACTTTCTGATAAGGGAATGTTGCAGATATTTAGTTTTTTAATTAAATGATTATATGGAACTCTTTAAAACTGTTCCCGCATATTCATGGCTATTTATTTATTTTCACAAATACTGAAATTTACGAAATATAGTATAAAACTCATTGAAAAACTGTCAAGACGACATTTGATAAATTCTTCCAATGTATTCGTTATTAAGTGTTTCACTGTAGTACATGATATCAGAGCTGAGATTCTAAAATAAAAGCCTGGGACTGAATTCAATAAATCGGAGAGGACCGTTTGAATCCTTAGATGTGTAAATATAGCAAAGAAATTGAGTTTTTATCACAAACTCTGATTTTTTATCCCTATATCTTTGCAGCCTGAAGTTGCAGAGGTTAGATATTTCAAACTATACATTCTGTTAGATCAAAAAGTCTAAATTTGAAATGTCAAAGAGTTAAAGCATGGCGTTGCCAAAATATTTGGATTATAAATTTGAATTTGTGGCAAAAACTCAATTCCTTTAAACTTTAAATAAAGATATTGACTATTGAGTCTTTGCCATGTGAACTCCAATTTTCTAAATCTTATATAATTTCAACACAATGTCGCAGACCTTAGATATTTCAAACTTTAAATAACAAAGATTTACACCGGGAGGGTTGCAAAGAAATAGGAAATCAAAAATTAGAGTTTGTGGCAAGATCTCAATTTCTTTATTAATAACTTGTATTGTGTATTGTGTTGAATTTGTTACCTAAACCTTATGTCTTGGCTAAGGCTTTACTTCCGTTTGTAAATTAACGCTAAGACCGGGTTTAACTCAGGTTTAACAGTTTTTAAATCTCAGTTCTGGTGTAACCGCTCAAAGAAAGCTAGAAAACTCAATTCGTTCTGTGTAATATTCATAATCACATGTTTAAACCCCCGGTTTAACTAGATTGTTATGAATATTTTGAAATTGGTAAACACTCCCTTTAAAAAATGCGGCCAATTTGGAAAAAATATCAACTGATTTGCATAACTCTTGATTTAGAACACCACATTCTGGTTTGCTACTGGAGGAGCTGGGTTTTGTGTGTCAAGAGTGCTAGCTCTTAAGATGGCGCCTCACGCAGGGTAAACTTACTCCTTAAAAAAACTGTAACCGTAATTTCAAGTGAAATTGCATCAACAGATGACATTGCTTGATTCACAACGGTACCCTTGGAAGCTTTGTCTGATCAAGTATGAATAATATATCAATTTTTATAATTTTGAAAACTGATAAATTTCAATTTTGAGATCTCTACAAAAGTGACTTGCACACATATCTAGTGCAGAAAAACACTAAACAATTATAAGAATAAACACTTTCAAATCTAGAAAAACAATAATATCTTCCACATTATTGATCAGATAATGTTTTAAGGTACCATTGTAAATCGGGCATTGCCATCTTTGCATGGATAGGGTCACTTGAAATTACGTCTCGATTATAAAACCCTAAACGGGGGGTGGGGGGTATTATAACCTTGGTTCGGAGTTGGGTGAATCCAATATTGAAAAGGCCTTAAAGTGAAAAAATCCAATCGTGGCAAATGTTTCTGTGTTCACAAGCCAAAATTTGAAAGACCAGTTAATTCTTCAAGTTAAAGTTAAATCTTTAATTTTATTTTATTTAGAGTCAATTAAAAACATAAATGAAATATGAAGTCTAATAAAAACAAAAATGAAATATGAAGTCTAATAAAAACATAAATGAAATATGAAGTCAAATAAAAACATAAATGAAATATGAAGTCTAATAAAAACATAAATGAAATATGAAGTCTAATAAAAACATAAATGAAATATGAAGTCAAATAAAAATATAAATAACATATGTTAAGACTGATATAAACATGAATTAAATATGAAGTCTAATACAAACATATATGAAATATGAAGTCAAATAAAAACATAAATGAAATATGAAAACTAATATAAACATAAATGAAATATAAAGTCAAATAAAAACATAAATGAAATATAAAGTCAAATAAAAACATAAATGAAATATGAAGTCTAATAAAAATATAAACCAAATATATAAGATATAGAATTGTAATGTTTAGAGATAGACAGTTTGTTGAGTCTGGAAACCAGTTTTGGTTTCCTGACGATGTAACTCTAGGATATATTATAGGTAAACACATGGGGCGGACAAATTAAAGGGACTGTACACGTTTATTTCAAGAAAATTAATGGGACTGTACACGTTAATTACAAGAAAATTAAAGGGACTGTACACGCTAATTTCAAGAAAATTAAAGGGACTGTACACGCTATAAATTACAAGAAAATTATAGGGACTGTACGCTAATTTCAAGAAATATTCGATGTGAACTAGGGAATTGAATCCTTTGGTTCTTGAATT